CATCTCCGCGCGCAGCACGCGCTGGTAGTGGTCAGCGCGCGCCGCCACATGCTGCAGCTGTGCATCGGACGCGGCAAGCATCGCCTCTGCCGCCGCCGCGCGGTCGCGCCACTCGTTGATCTGCGCGTCCCTGTCGGCGATCTCCTTACGGAACGCCGCCGCGTCGTTGATGAGGCCGAAGGACACAAGCGTTGGCTGCTTCAGCTTCCGCTCCGTGTGCGACCCACCACCACCACTGCTGCTGCTACCGCAGCCTCCCCCGGGGCCGCTCTGCGCCGGCACGTATACACAATCATCATCACCACTAGCGTTGTTACTGTTACTGCCGTTGGGGTTGTTATGGTTATGGTCTTCCTCCCCTTGTGCGACGGGGTCACCAGCCTGCGTTGAGCTACACACGGCGCCCTTCTTGTCGTGCAGAGGCGGCGGCGGCGGCATGTCGACATCAACCACGTCGGTGCCTGTATCAGACTCCCGCGAGCGCTTCCGGTGCTCGCTGCACCGCATCTACTAACTTCTAAAAATGTGGTGGACTGAGAAAGACAGGTGCATGCGTGTGTGTACGCAGTTCTCACAGAGAACCCACTGGAAGATGGACGCACATCACGAAGGAGCAGCAGCAACGATGGCAACCAACGTGGGCGAGCGCAGTAGCACCAACCCCCATTTTCTTTTTCTACACATGGCGCCCCACGGACGCGAATTTCTCATTTATCTCAGCGCCCGCTCTACCAGCCACTCGCCTTCTTGCAACTCTAAGACGAGAATGAAAGGGTCTACCAGCTCTGGTATGTTGCTCTGCAGGCACACCACACACTGCTGCAGCACCAGTCGTTTCTCCACAGTGGAGTATAGTGCTGCAGACCCCTTGCACGAGCACAGCACCCAATCCGTCGATTCCCGAACCGCCGTTTCCTCAATGCATGCCATCGGCTCCAGGAACTCCAGCGTTGCCTTGAAAACACAATCACCGGTAAATGTTACCTGGTCCATGGAGCGGCTCTTCACAAAACGACGGTCCTCCAGGAACGCGAGAGTGTCCACCGGCACCCGCACGCACTCCCCCTCTTTGTTGGTGTAGAGGAGCATGTTGAGCATGCCCTTCTTGACGAAGGCGAGATCAGGCGTTGTCTCCACTGAGACCGACACCCGCCGCCTCCCCATAATTCGCTGCGCGCACCCTGCCGGACTGAAGAGCAGCAGCAGCAGCAGCAGCGACCGTATCTTTTTGTACTATTTGAAAGCCACCGGCAACAAGAGTGTGGGACAGGGAGAAGAGATGCCACACGGGACAGCAACACTTTTACAGCAAAATGGCAGCAGCAGCAGCAGCAGCATGCACCAAAAAGAAACAGAGTGGAAGAGTGTGAGAGAGACATAGAGAGAGCGAAAGAAGGATGACAAGAAAGAGTCAGCTGCACAGCAGCTACCACAGCTCAACAGCCTCCGGCCTCAGAAGCTCCCCGTCTTCATCGTACACCTCCTCCTCCTCCCCACTCGACGCGGCACTGCCGTCACAGATATCATCGCCATTCTCAGCGGCAGCAGCAGTGGGCAGCACCATCGGGTCCCCGGAGAAGAGCGTCGCCTCTCGCCGCAGCTGCGGGGCGGCAAAGATTCCCTTGCCGAACTGCTCCGCCACAACCGCGAAGCCGTCCGCATCCCGTGCATCGCTGAGGCGCTGAAAGAATGCCTCGGGGTCCGCGTGCCGCTCCGCCAGATCCCGCTGCTCCGAGACGAAGCGGCGCTGCGCCGGCGCGCACACATTGCACTCCGCGACGTCGTTGAGGCAACGCTGGTGGAACGAGTGCTGGCATAAGAAGTGCACCACCGGCAGGTCCAGCGCGGCGTGGCAGTGGCTGCATTTGTGCCCCTGAAACACTGTCGCCTTCGTCTGCAGTGCGTCCATCTCGCTGTGCAGTTCCTGTAGCCGCTTCAGCCGCGCGTCGGTGAGGCGGTGCGCGGCCTCCACCCGCTGCGCGTCCTTGCGCATCATGCGCAGCGCGTACTCACGGATGGTGCGCAGCTGCAGCCGCGGGTTCGTGCTGAGGATCTCCACTACCGACAGCGGCGACAGCAGGTCCTGCTCCTCCACGCACTCCAGCACCTGCACAAGGTCCTGCCACTCCGTCTCGGGGCTGCTCACCAGCATCGACAGCAACGATATCCACAACTCCTTCACCGACTCGCCACCGTCACTCTTCCTCCCGTCGTTTTGGTCGCGGTTGTTGTTGCTATTGCCGTTTTTTAGTTGAGTCCGGCACATCTCGATAAGTTTCTCTTTGGCCGCCNGACGTATCGCTGGCGTGGCACCCTCCTCAAGTCCCTTCGCGTAGTACTGCATCACGTCAGCGGAGAGGTGCAGGCGACGCAGCAGCAGTAGCACGCCGTCCTCAAATCCGTGCTGCTCAGCCAGCGCAAGTGCGTGATAGTCGTCGTAGTTACCCGCGTACGCCTCAAGAAACGTCAGTGCCCGCTCACGCCGCCGCGCAAGAGGCTCCACCGTGAAAGCCTCCGTCTCATCAGCTGCTGCCACTGTAGCAGTGGTGATGGTGGCGGTGTGGTGGCGAATGCATTGCTTCAAATCGCGCGTAATATACAACTCCAGCAGTGTATTATATACTACCTGCTGCTGCAGTTGTTGTTGTTGTTGTTGTTGCTGCGACTCACCGTCGGCGTCCAGCACGCCACTCTCCACCACCGCGTGCAGGAACTGCAGCAAGCAGACAGGCGAGTCGACGAAGACGTGCATAAAGTCCTTCGCCTCACTGCGGTGCGGCGGCCGTTGCTGGGGGCCGGCGCCACGGCCCACGGCTGCTGCTGCGGCAAGGCGCCGC